CAAGTATTTGGATATTTCATTATTGTCTTTATGCTATTGATTTCCAATTTTTATCAGTTTGTTAGATTGTTGTGCTTCATAATTATAGATTTGCCTATTTTATCTTTCAGCTCTGTCAGTTTTGCTTCATCTATTTTGCAACTCTGTTATTTGCTGCATGCACATTTAGGACTATGTCTTTTTGGTTAATTGATATTAAAAAATTGTGTAGTGTCCCTAGTAATTTTATGTTCTTCAGTCTACTTTGCTTGATATTAATATTGGTGCTTCTTTTTTCTTCTTCTGCTTTGATGAAAGGCTTCTTCCTAGTACTACTAGGCCCCAGTCTTACAGGGCTCTGAGCACAAACTGTGTGGATGGGATGAGGCCCATTCAGATGCAGGGCCGGAAATGGGGCTCTTCATTATCCCTTCCCCATTGGTTCCAGTCTCCTTCTCTGCAATGGGCACACATAGAGGAGGGACAAAGGATAATGGAAACAACATAATTGGCCCAGGGGAACCACAGTGAGCAGTGATGCCATTGGCCAGGGAGTGGTCTTGTGATAGCCTTTGGCTGTTGATTGGAAGGAAAAGATCTGGGAATGGAACCCTGTGGCCAGGAAGATAAAGGACTGGGTGAGAATGCTTGGCCTGCTGGCCGGCTCCCCACAGCAGCTCCAGCAAAACTGGTGTCAGGCACCAGCCAGGGAAAGGGGAACCCAAGCCAGAGGACAAAGAATGTTTCATTTCCCATTTCCCCCAGGCAGGGACTGGCCTTCCTAAATTCCTTTTTGATAGCCAGGTTGGGCTGTGAGCAGCTCACTACTCCTCTAGCCAGGAAGGCTTCTTAGCTCCTGGCGGCTGCAACTTGATGTTGTACTGCTGCAAGGTTTGCTCCAGCTGTTTCTGGGTCCCAGCAAAGTAGGTGGACATAGCATTGTTAAAGAGCAGCAGCTGCTTGTGCATCACTTTGATCTGGGGTTCCAACAGGGTCAGCTAACGCTGGACTTAAGTGCCCTCCACCAAGGAATCGAAAAAGGGGCAATCTGATGGGAGAAATGTCTTGTAAGCCATTTAAACATGTTTTGTTTAGAATAAGCCTATGCATATATAAACTAGAACCCTGTTGTTGTTAAGTGCTGTTTCTGAGGAGCAACTGATGGATTTGGACTGCTTGTCTTTTGGTTGATTCTATAGCACCACACCGGGAGTCCAATTAGAACCCTAGTAACAATAAATTTTGACTTACCCTCATATATTGTATTTAAAGTGAGTTTCTTTTAACAGCTTATAGTTGGGTCATTTTTCTTAACCCACTGTGCTAATCCTTTAATTGCTATTTTTAGTTCTTCCGGCATTAGAAAAAATGACTGTGCCACTTCCTTATGTACAAGGGGCTTTCAAAAAGTTTGTGGACAATGGAATTACAAAATACTAGAATTTTTCCTCATACTTTTTAAAGCTCTGACTGATTTCAAGTCACTGCCTTGTTTTTAATTTTTGAAATTTGATTAAGAGTATAAATTCCTTGAGTTTATAGTCTTTTGGGTACTATACATATTTTTTTATACCTGTAGGTTCTTGCCTTTCTCCAAACATGGACATTTTCAGACATTATTTCTTCAAGTATTCTTTTTATTTTTTGATCCCTTCCTTCCATAATTTAATGGCACTGGTGTTTGATCCTTTCCTACTATTACAGAGGTTTCTGTTTATGCCCCACACCCCAAGCTATATTCTCATTGTTCAGATTGGCTCATGTCAATTTATTTTCAAGTTCACTCATTTTTTTCTGTCATCCCCATTCTGCTGTAGAGCCAAATCAATGACTTGTTTTTTTTTAAATTTCAGTTACTGTATTTTGTATTAAAATTTCCAGTTGGTTCTTTATATATCCCATTATTTTACTGAGATTTTCATACTATTCCATTGTTTTCCAGAATGTTTATAATTTCTTTCTGGTGTGTCTTTATAATAGCTTTCAAAATTTTTTTTATCAGATATTTGCAATATCTGCAACATCTAGGCATTGGTAGCTAATAGTTATCTAAATTCTTTTGAGTTCAGATTATACTGATTTCTGACATGGTAATTTTGGATAAAATTCTAGGTATTTGAATATTGTAGTATTAAACTGATCCCAGTGAAATACTTCAATGTTGACAGGCATACATATACTTAGCATTCAGAGTTTACATCCTGGTTCAGTTTTTTTTTTTTTAATGTTTTATTGTGAATTATGTGATAGTTTACATGGAGAACATTAGTTTTACATTCATCCTATAGTATATAATTTCATTGCTATGATTACAATCCCCTCCATGCATCATCAACCATCCAAAGGGTATACACTACACACATGTCCCCCGGTCATCAGCACACAACCCCTCTTCCTCTCTGTGTCTAAAGTCCCCAACAGCTCCATTTCTCCACATCATCGTCTCTGCCTTCATCTCAGGCATCACTGCTTCTCTGGGTAGGGTCCCGCTCTCCACTCTTCTTCCCTGATGGTCCCAGGGATCTTCGCTCTTAGGCTGAAAAGTTAATCACTCCCTTCCTTTACAATTCCAATCCTTACAAGCAGTCCAGATAATAATTATTCACTATTGTATCACAATACATCCGGATTTCTTTTCATCAGCCCAGCCTAGACAGATTGTATACTACTCAGTGGAGATTCTATTTTCCTCCATGCCCTCTGAATCTAGCTTCCCTCTTGAAAGCTTGTAAGCATCCTGGTTCACTTTTGTCAAATATAATTAAGGTGTTAGTTTAAGTTTCAAAACCTTGACAATGCTATAATTTTCTGCTGCTCTAAGTCCTGGTGTGGCCCTAAAGCATAATGTACTGGACTCTCTCTCCTCCTTGGTAACCCTATATAGGGTTGCTATGAGTTGGAATTGACTCCATGGTACTTAACAAGTACAACTCTGAGACCAACATGAAACCTTGAATGGTTTCAAACTTTTGCTGTGTTGATATTGGTCAGTTAACACATGAGCAACGTGTTAAAGAATCCTCTTTTCAATCTCCTTCTTATATATAATGTTTCTCAAGCTTATGGTTGGGAGAAAACAATGTTATTTGCATAGTACAGGAGAGAGATTGTCTGTACCCCACAGCCTCTATAGTGGCTGGTGAGGAGAGGGAAGGGCAACACTTCTCACCTTAGTGCAGGGGAGAAGTTGGCTAACGAAAGGAGACTCCATACAACAAACACACTCTGGTGGGGGGAGGAGTGGGGGTGGGTTAGATAGGAGAAGGTGTCAGCTCTTTGCTGAGACTTGTTTAAAATAGGGCAAGGATAGTCAAGAAATGTTGGCCCCAAGATTCTGGACAGCCAGAGAGAAGGTGAGTGATGCTGGGTGAAATGCTAGTTAAGACTCTACTTAATAATCCCTTTCAGAAACTGGTAGAGTGCCATCTCTGCTCCTTCTCATTCAGGGAGAGGGTGGTCCACAGGCTTCTTCCTGTCTCTGCAGCACTGGCCGGAGAGAGATTGGATGCAGTCACTTTTCAGAACCCCTACACAGGGTCACTGTAAGTTGAAACCAACTAGATAGCATTTAACAGTAACAATAACAACCTTGCTAAATCCATGCAGTTATTCAAAGCCAAACGTTAGAGTAATTTCTATGATGAAAAGACCAATTGAGTTGGGAAAAGTACTTATATATCTGTCAGGTTCTCATTAGGAACATTGTTGTTAATGTTTTTGAGTCGATTCTGACTCATAGCAACACTGTGTAGGGTCAAGGAGGTAAATCTTTGCAGAAGGAGAAAACTTCATATTTAGAGCAATTGGTGAACTCACATTAGCAACAGAGATGCCTACTTTGCCTTTTTGTATACACATAATCTTGCTTTTTATTTTTTCTTCTTTCTGTTGGCAGCTTTCCCCCCAAGGCAATATGTGACAACATGAGCATTGTTTGTGTGGTGACAAAATGTCGTAATTCCAGCATTCTGGTGATGTATTCTTTGTAGAACATGGAAACTAATGGAATGAACCATGAATCATCTTTGTCAATGTAGTAAAGAGAATTCTATTTGCAAATACAGAATGATTACTTTTGTTATCTTAAGAAGTGGTGATTCAACTACGTCTCAGACCCTGTGATAGGTTTTATGAATCAGGTCTTAATGCAGATGCAGTACTAATAATGGATCTTATATTCCTACCATCAGGAGGAGTACAAAATAATGAGTAAAATAAATGGTTATACAATATACAATTAAAAACAATGCAATGACAGTATAAAATGGTGGTGGTAGTGGTTATGTGCCGTGAAGTCGGTTCCGACTTGCAGCAACCTTGCATAGGGTTTCTGAGGCTGTAAATCTTTAACAGGAGCAGAAAGCCTCATCTTTCTCCTGCGGAACTGCTGGTAGTTTTGAACTCTGACCTTGAGATAAGCAGCCAAATTCAAAACCACTATGCTACCAGAGCTCCTAGTATACAATGGAGGAAGTGTGAATTTAGATTGAGGCTGGATTAAAATTAGATTGAGGCTGGATTAAAATTAAATTAAAATTAAAATAAACCGCAGAATTTTAGGGAAAAAAATCAGACATGTTGTTGTTGTTGTTGTTAGGTGCCATCGAGTCAGTACCGACTCAATAGCGACTCTTCTGCACAGCAGAATGAAACACTGCCCAATCCTGGGCCAACCTCACTATTGTTGCCACACTTGAGTCCATTGATGCTGCCATTTTTCCAATTCATCTCGTTGGGGGTCTTCCTCTTTTTCTCTGACCGTCCACCTTACTAAACATGATGTCCTTCTCTAGTGACTGGACCCTCCTAACAATATGTCCGAAGTATGAGAGACAAAGTTTGGTCATCCTGACCTCCAGGGAGCACTCTGGCTGTACTTTTCTCAACACAAATCTGTTGATTATTTTGGCAGCCCATGGCACTTTCAACTTTCTCCTCCAATACCATTAATCAAAAGCATCAATTCTTCTACTGTCTAACTTATTCACTGTCGAGCATTTGCATGCATATGAGGTTATTGAAAACACCATGGCTTGGGTCAGGCACACCTTAGTCCTCAAGCTGACATCTTTGCTCTTCAACATTTTAAAAAGGTCTTGTATAGCAGATTTGCCTAATGCAATACATCGTTTGATTTCTTGACTGCTGCTTCCATGAGTGTTGATAGTTGATCCAAGTCCTTGACAACTTCAATCTTTTCTCCATTGATAAGAATGTTGTTTATTGGTCCAATGGTGAGGATTTTTGTTTTCTTTACATTGAGATGCAATCCATATGGTGTGCTCTTTGATCTTCATCAGTGAATATTTTAAGTCCTCTTTACTTTGAATAAGCAAGGTTGTATCATCTGTATATCGCAGGTTCTTAATGACATAGGGACTAATATTTAGAAAGACTTAGAAGAGAAACAGAAAATAGAAGTTAAAAAATGCTCACAAGGACCAGGAAACAAAAAATATGTCAAAAGTTAAACCACATAAAGGTTTAGTTTACATTATCACTGATAACTGATATTGGCCAGGATTCAAAGTTGTGGGAGAGAGTAACAGCCAAATTCAAGATCCAGTTCTATTTCCTTGGCTCTCAGGGCTTGAAAAAAACATGATCTGAGGGGGATGTTTACATTCTCAAGGGAAAACCATCTCAGTGGGAGAGTTCAAGGGCAGGGCAAGTTTCTAGGCTGTTAAAGTGTCCACCATCTCTTTTCTGTATCTAGGAGGATGAGAGAACAAAGGAAAAAGAGAAAAACATGCTCAGCTTTTCTCAAGCTGCAAACACTGCATTAAAGGCTTGGTTTGGAATATTGAAGGATTCTGTGGGTAAAATATTGAATGATGCAGAAAGCATCAACAGAAAAGAAGCAAGGAATACACTGAGGCTCTGTACCAAAAAGAAATGGTCGATGCTCAGTTATTCCAAGAGGATAGCATATGATCAAGAACCGAAGGGAAGAAGTCCAAGGTGCACTGAAGGCATTGGTGAAAAACAAACCTTTAGGAACTAATGGAATACAAATGGAAATCTTTCAAAAAACTGATGAAGCACTGGAATTACTCACTCATGAATGCCAAGAAATTTGGAAAACAATTTCCTGGCTAACCAATTGGAAAAGCTCTATATTTGTGCACATTCCAAAGAGAGGTTACACAACAGAATGTGGCAATCATGTAACAGGAACATTAAAATCACATGCAAGTAAAATTTTGTTGAAGATAATTAAAAAACAGTTTCAACAGTATATCCACAGGAAATTGCCAGAAATTCACATTGGAGCCAGAAGAGGACGTGGAACGAGGTGTACTGTTATTGAAGCTTGGCAGATGTTGACTGAAATCAAAGAATACCAGAAAGGTGTTTACTTGTGCTTTATAGACTCTGCAAAGGCTTTTGGCTGTGTCCTGGATCATGACAAACCATGAATAACATTGCAAAAACTGAGTAGTCTAGAATATTTTATTGGGCTCATATGGAATCTGTACATAGACCAAGAAGCAATTGCTAGAACAGAACAAGGGGAGTTTGAATGGTTTTAAATTGGGAAAGATTGGCATCGGGGTTGAATTCTTCGACCATACTTACTCAGTCTGTATGTTGAGCAAATAATCTAAGAAGCTGGATTATATGAAGGAAGGTGACATCAGAATTGGAAGATTCATTAACATCCTGCAATATGCAGATGATACAACCTTGCTTGCTGAAAGTGAAGGGGACTTAAAACATGTACTGATGAAAAACAAAGATCACAGTCTTCCGTATGGGTTTGCATTTCACTGTAAAAAAAACAAAAATCCTCACCACTGGATCAATAAACAACATCCATATCAGTGGAGAAAAGATTGAAGTTGTGAAAGACTTCATTTTACTCAACTCACTCATGAAAGCAGCAGTCAAAAAACCAAATGACATACTGCATTAGGCACATCTGCACAAAACCTTTTTAAAGTGTTACAGAGCAAAGACGTCAGTTTGAGGAACAAGGTGCATCTGACCCAAGCCATGGCATTTAGTGCATTTGAATTATGGTGTTGGAGAAGAATATTAAAAGTACTATTAATATTAAAAGGACTGCCAGATGAACAAATAAATCTATGTTGGAAGAAGTATAGTTGGAATGCTCCTTGGAAGCTAGGATGGCAAAATTTTGTCTCTTATACTTTGAACACGTCCCTGGAGAAGGATGTCATGCTTTGTAAAATGGAAGGTAAACAAAAGAGGAAGACCTCCAGGAAGATCGATTGACACAGTGGCAGTAACAATAGACTCACAGGTAACAATTGTAATGATGGTACAAGACTGGGCGGTGTTCCTTCTGTTGTACATAGGGTTGCTGTGAGTTGGAAGTGACACGATGGCACCTAATGACAACAACAAATGGAGAAGGGCATTGTGACTTGAGAAGACATGTCAGGCACTATAAATAGCACCTAGGCAAAGTCTGAGACAGCCAGGTGTTTATTTTATTTCTGAAGTAAATGATGAAGTATGTATGGTAAAGATGAGGGAGGAAACTCAGGAAGGTCAACTCATGCCGGCATTTTGTAGGATACAGGACAAATATATACTGATTACAATGGTAACGTATTGAATGGTTTGAACAGATTCACTGATGGTTAGAGCCACCTGTTCATAGAATTTACTTTGGCTTTGGTACCTGATCAAGTCCATCTTCATTCAAAACATTTCAGAGTATATATTTTATGTGCAAGTCTGCCACTGATCTACACTGTTGAACATGATAGAGTTTAAGTTAACCAAAATTCCAAACCCACTTCCATTAAGTCAATTCAAACTCAAAGCAACCCTATTGGACATAATAGTTGCTCCTTAAGGTTCCAAGACTAAATCTTTATGGGTTGCCGCAACCTTATCTTTCTCCCTTGGAGCAGTTGGTGAGTTTGAACCATTTACCTTGGAGTTAGCAACCCAATGCTTTTAACCTACTGTACTGCCAGTGCTCCTTAGTTGAACTAAGGAAATACACTTTCAACTAGTGGTTTCTGAATTAGTGTATGGCTAGTGGGGTAGTTAGGGAGAAGAATGAAGTTGTTATTGCAAGTACCATTGAGGTTCCAGTCAACAAATGAGTGAACTCTTAAAGTCGCTTTCTACTGCTCACATGGACTGAATTCAGTCTTATCATTTGTTCTCATATCTAAAACATAGGCATGATCCATCATATGTTTCTTAATCTCTGGTCAACTAGCCTTATACTCCTCTCCAACATATTCTCCAGGTTTTGTTAAGATAAATTGACAATCTTGCGACATATTTGTAATATATGCTTGCTTTTCTTACGTTCTTATGCAGTCTCCTTGGATCTAACAAAATTTATGGGACTGGTGACAGTGATAAGGGTTGGGTGGATGGAGGGGAAACCATTCTCAAAACTTCAAGTAAGACAAGGTCAATTTCATAATAAAGGAAACACACATGATCACATCACTAAATCTCAAAAAGCTTTTGATGTAATGTAACATTCATTCATGAAGAAAAATAAAAACTCTTAAACTAGGAATAGAGGAACTGTTTAACTTAATAATGGGTCCTGGTGTGGCGCTGTGGGTTAATGCTCCAGACTGCAGAGCTGTTTTAACTGCAATGTCGGTGGTTCAAGCTCACCAGCTGCTCCTCGAAAACCCTATAAGGGTCACTATGGGTCGGAATCGACTCAACAGCACTTAACAACAATAAAAACTTGTCAGCCAACATTATACTTACTGGTGAAAGACTAAATTCTTTCTTATAAATATTGATATCAAAGCAGGGATGTCCACTCTGACCACTCCTGTTCACTTTGGCAGTGCAGTAAGGAAGAAAACAAAAACCAAATCAAATGGAAAGGCAAACATAAATCTCTTTCTAGTCCAGCCAGCAGTTGTTGAGTTGATTCCAGTTCACAGTCACTCTATGGGATACAGTAGAACTGCCCCGTAGCGTTTTCTAGACTGTAAATCATTAATGAAACAGAATGCCACGTTTCTCCTGTGGA